CTCTTCACCTTTTTTTACTTTCCATATACTCTGCTCTTCTTATAACACTTCTGCTTTGTAAAAACCTCTCATAAGCTAACTTTTTCACTTTTATCACACCCTTTACTTCATCATTCCACCAATCACTCTTCCCTCCTGCCCCCACCCTCCTATAACCACAAACTTCTGCCCCACATTCTAATACTGCATTTTTAAAACTCATCCAACCCTCTTCAACCCCCCCACTACTCATACTTGCACCAGCCCACCTTTCTGCCAATAGTCGCTTATATCTCACCCGAACTTCCTCCTCCCTTAGTTTATACACTTTCACCTCCCTCCTACTTGTTGTTGCCACCTTCCTCTTGTCCCATCTATCTCTTACTCTAACTGTAGCTACAACTAAATAATGATCCGATATATCAGTTACCCCTCTATAAACGTGTACATCCTGGAGCCTACCCATCAACCTTTTATCCACCAATACCTAATCTAACAAACTACTTTCATTATGTGCTATATCATACCTTGTATATTTATCTATCCTCTTCTTCATAAAATATGTATTATTACCAAACCTCTTTCTACACATAGTTCAATTAAAGGCTCCCCATTTTCATTTACCCCTGGCACCCCAAATTTACCTACTACTCCCTCCACAACATTTTTGCCCACTTTAGCATTGAAATCCCCAACCACCATTACTCTCACACTTGGTTGAAAACTCCCCACGCATTCACTCAAAATTTCCCAAAATCTCTCTCTTTCCTCTATACTTCTCTCTTCTCCAGGTGCATATACGCTTACTATAACCCACTTTTCACATCCAACCTTTATTTTACTCCACATAATCCTTGAATTAATACATTTATAGACCCTTTTCCTGCCATAACTTATCCTGCAACATTATTGCTACTCCTTCTTTAGCTCTAACTCTATTTGAGACCCCTGACCTAATCCCATTTATTCCTCTCCACTGAAACTTTCCCACCCCCTTCAGCTTTATATATATATATATATATATATATATATATATATATATATATATATATATATATATATATATATATATAAGAGAGAGAGAGAGAGAGAGAGAGAGAGAGAGAGAGAGAGAGAGAGAGAGAGAGAGAGGCGAGGGGGACAGGGACAGGACAAAGAGAGGAAGAAGTGGAGAAGTAGTAGTAGAGGTAATGGTGGTAATTCAATTCAATTCGAAGTTTATTCTCTATAAGGATTACAATGCTGAATTTACAGAATTTGGTTATTGTGTGGTTTACATGTAGTTAAATAATGATTACAGTGTGTACCACTAGAACACGTAGCATGGCTAGGCATTTCGGGCAGACTTATTTTAATTCTTTATTTTAAAATATTACAAATTATGAGGTAAGTTGGTATTATGGCTAAGTGACTAAATACTAGTTTGTGAGTTTAGCAATGTGAATGCTTTTGTTTTGACACAGTACATAGTTTCAGTATTGGAGTATCATAGGATTCATTATTTTAAGATTGAGATTAATATTTCTGTTTATGGTCAAATGGGTGAGTGAGTGTAAGTGTGAACCACCAGGTGGTATTCGTGTAGTTAGTTGATGGGGTGTATCAGGGAGATAAGATGTTTTCTAATGGTAGTTTTGAAGGTGATGAATGTGCCTGCAGTTCTAGAGTTCTCAGGTAGGGTGTTCCAGATTTTAGGGCCTTTGACATACATTGAATTTTTGTAAAGGTTTAGTCGGACACGGGGAATGTCATAGAGATGTTTGTGTCTGGTGTTATGCCTGTGGATTCTGTCACGACTATTACTTCGTAATGGAAGTAGTAATGATAGTAAAAAGTAGGGGAAGTAGTTTTTGTGGCACAAGAGACTGAAAGAGGAGTGAAGGGGGGGAATAGCAGAAAAGCAGTATTAGTGGTACTAGTAGTGGTAGTAGTAATGGAGTGGTCGTAGTAGAAGTGGAGTAAGTCTAAGGACATGAAAAGCAGCACTGCAGGAGAGCTAATGACCCACAAGGTGTAGGACCGAAACCAGAGGGGAGGGAGCGAGAGGAGGGGAGGAAAAGATCAAATTAAGTTACGAGTTTTCTGAAATTTGAAGCATTTGAGAAGGTAACGAGAAAGGAGGCATCTACAAAGACAAAGCCACGACTAAGATTCACATTAGCTCTTAAAGTTACCCAGCGAAATACCCAGCGGGATACCTAAAAAGTCTTGCAGCAACAATGGAATGAGCATGTTATTGTCACAACACACAGCCTTTAACTTCTACAAAATAGTGGCACACGAACTAGCAGAAGCAAACAAAAATTTAACAACACAGTGCACAAGTATAAATAAAAAATAAAAAGAGAAATCTAGTACACCCCTGGAAATCCTTCAATTAAGTAAGAAAGGCACCACAAGCATATTCTAGAAATAAATTAATTAAAATTCACACAAGCTCCCTCGATAATAATGGTGTATTTTGGTCGCCGCGTGATCTGAGGAAGGTATCCCCCTGTATTCCATATTTCCAGTCCCTTGTGATTCAGTGCACGAAATTTGAAAAGTACAGAGAGCGGCATATGGTGATAATGTAGTTAAATATTAGTGTTGAAGATTTAAAGTTAATCATAAGAGGTATTCACAAGCCACCATATGGAAACTTACAAATTCCTTCAATAACTAAATATCTTTAATTCGTAAAAATCATGAACACTGTTTATGTGGATGTATTGGTTATAATCACAACCGTAATTTTTGAAGGTGTGAACTGGTAAGCCAGCGGAAGTCCTCGGTCAGGTGACAAAAGTTCCAGCTGCAGCTCATCACATGACTAAGACCCGCGTCAGGAAACACTTGTCCCATTTCTTGACGAACCTTACTTAACCTATTTCGCTTTTACGCAGTATCAGAGCTGTTATGTCACTGGAACAGTGACATAATAACAAACATTTTATGATCACACAAAGTAGTAAATGATGTTATTACCACTATGCAATACTATTATCTTCCCCTTCGCTCTTCCTTGATCTGTCTTCTGCTTTAATACTAGAAGCACAAGTAGTGATAATAGTAGTAATATAAATAATGATAGTGGTGGTGGTCTTTTGACGGCGGCGGCGGTAGTAGTAGTTATACAGATATTCGTAGAAGTAATAATGGTATTAAACACATTAGTGGTAGAAAAATTAGTAGCGATAAAATTAGTAATAATGGTACTACCATTATCTTTTCTACTGCTACTGATACTACTAAAACTACCACCACCACCACCACTACTACTACTTTCTTCCCCTTCCCCTACCCGACCTGTCTTCTAGTCTGCTTTTACCCGTTCAGTTGTGATATGTTAATGGCCCAAGACAGACCGAAACATCGTATAAACATTGTACTATGAGTGTAAGCTGTAAAGTAATTGTTATTACTGTCAGCAAACTGGTCTAAGAAAGACAATGTGAATCATAGAATTGATGAGGGACAAAGGGTGAGTGGAGCACTGAGGAGTCTGTGGAGACAAAGAACGTTATCCATGGAAGCAAAGAAGGGGAATGTATGAGAGTATAGTGATACCAACACTATTACATGGATATGAAGCATGGGTGGTGAATATTGCAATATGAAGGCTGGAGGCAGGGGATATATCGTGTCTGAGGGCAATGTGTGGTGTGAATATAATGCAGAGAATCCGTAACTTGGAGATTAGGAGGAGGTGTGGGTTTTTATTATGGAGGGCGTATAAATCTGTATTGGAAGGAAGGCGTGGTAGGGGTCGTCCTAGGAAAGGTTGGAGGGAGGGGGAAAAGGTTTAGTATGAGAAGGGCTTGAAATTCCAAGAAGCATGCCTAAGTGTGTTAGATAAAAGCGAGGGGAGACGAATGATTTTTATGACTTGAAATGCTGTTGGAGTATGAGCAAGGAAACATTTATGAAGGGATTCGGGGAAACCGGTTAGCCGGACTTGAGTCCTTGAGGTGGGAAGTACAGTGTCTGCACTCTGAAAGAGGGCTGTTATGTTGCAGTTTTTTTTTTTTAACTGTAGTGTAGGTGCGCCTCTGGCAAGAGTGATGGAGTGAATGATGAAAGTGTTTCTTCTTTTTCGGGTCACACTGCCTTGGTGGGAGGAGGCCGATGTGATAATAAAAATAAATTATTATTGTTGTTATTTACAAGGGGAAATTCTAAACTAATAAGAGACATACATCATCTGGAAATGGGAGGGATATCGAGTGATCAAAAAATGGGAGTATATCTCCAGGTCCTGAAGACATATTCCAAAAGAGTGAATTGTGATAAGAGTTGTTTATACATGTGTGATACAAGGAGTGACGGAGGCTGGTAAGTGTATTTTCTGTTTATGCGGCAGTATTTTATTACCTTTACCTTGATGGTAGAGAGACGGAGTGTGCAATACATGATGTTTGAGGGATGCATTATCAGTTAATATAAGTTGGTCAGAAATTACATTGCAGCAAGCATTAACCCTCTGAACTGCAGCACTGAGCCACTGGAACCTGGGGTCCTTAATTGCGCTGACGAGTCTTTTGCCTACCTCCTTAAGAAAATTAAAATCCACCTCCTTCCTAAAAAAAAATTGTGTAGGTAATCATGCTGTATTACTTTTCTCTCTGCCACTCTGAACCTCTGTCATTTTAACCACACACACTATACCCTTATCTGGTCTGACGGCCGTCCTCCCCAAATTAAGATTTTTTTTTATCCTTACTGATCTTTTTTTTTTTTTAGAGGGAGGGGAAATTTTATAGACTTCATTCTCTTTACAACTACTCTGTGCAACCAAAAGCTCATAGGAAAAACCATAATTTCGAAAGTTATGGAAACAATCATTTCCAAAACAAGATAGGTACCAATTATGGGTATTGCCAGGTTATTTCAAGATAAACCTTACCATAGTCTTTAGCGTTAACTATTGTCTCAGATTCTTCGGAGATTCGCCTTTTCAGCGGTATCATTAAATGTTTCAACACTTACAATCTTTTAATTAATGCTTATTTAACGTTAGTAATTTGTTTCTCACTCCACAGGCAAATTCAAGACTTAAAGGAAACGGTACAAAAACTGCAACGTGTGAATATGCAGTGCAATAAAGCTCTTAGAAGGACCAACAATGATGTCCAGCAGCTGCGACTTCATCTGCAAAGCTACGAAGCCTCAAGGAGTTACTTGGAAGAGAAAGTAAAAAACCAAGAGATAGCGCTCCGTGAGCAGCGAGACAAGTTTATGTTGTTTAGGGAACACCTGGACCTCATCACCAGCAGCCTTGATGATGACAACACTACCAAGAAGCTCATCTCTGCTTTGTTGAAGCGACTGTCTGGCGAGACGTCGCTGTCTGCTGCTGCTCCTACTGCTGCTGCTGCTGCTGCTGCTGCTGCTGCTGCTGCTGCTGCTGCTGATCCTTCTGTTGCTGCTGCTGCTGATCCTCCTACTGCTACTGTTTTTCCTCCTGCTACTGCTATTCCCACTACGTTTTTTCCCACTACTACTGCTACTGCTGCTACTATTCTTCCTACTACCGTTGCTAGTGTTCGTCTTACTGCTGTTACCACTCTTCGTCCTACCGCTACTGCTCCTCCTCCTACTATTGCTACCGCTACTGTTTCTCTTACTAATGCTATTACTGTTCGTCCTACCACTGCTGTTACTGTTACTTCTACTGCTATTTCTCCTACTGTTACTGCTACTAGTTTTCCTTCTACAACTGCTACTACTGTTCCTCCTACTGTTACTGATGGTATTGTTCCTCCTACTGTTACTGATATTGTTCCTCCTACTGTTACTACTGGTACTGTTCCTCCTACTACTATTGCTACTGTTCCTTCTACTACTACTGTACCTACTAGGCGTCCCACTACTGATCCTTTTACTTCTGCTGCTGCTCATACCTCTGAGTTTCAAGGCAACAAAGTGAAGCGGAGTGTCGACTGATGGGTTATCCGCCAAACCTAGTGACATACGTCGTACACTGTGACTGCCTTCGTCAGGGATATTATTATGTCTGGGTGGCATGTAGTCAGGTGACAAGTCTGCCCTGTGAACCTACTCTCGCAGTGTTTCCAGCTAATAAGCCATTCTCCATATAGTGTTATGGGTTGCCCTTCCTCGGGCTGGCTGCAGGAGAGTTCTTACCACCAGTGAGGTGACACACGTGCACATAAGTGTTTATAATTATCCAGTCTTGACTCAACACACTCACACTCGCTCTGTTGATCTCGTATTGTACAGTCACAGACGCTCTGACTCTCACCTTTACAGTCTCCCTACGATTCCCGTTGGGGAGGGAAACTTTACTTGTCTCCAAGTGACTCTACTCTTCCACGATGTCTCATTGTGTGAAGATAAAACCTAGAAGCTCTGTCATCAACGATGCCTCGAAACTTGAACTTGCGGCTGCCTTAAAAGCTGTCTGCGGGTGAAGTTCTCGGTCAAGTTCACTGAAAGAAGCTTTCCTTGTCACCTTCATTGATGATGAGGAGGCTGAAAAAGTCCTTACCCCAAGTGCGATGAAGTCCCTGGACGAATGTGGCTTATGTCCACTTCTCCCTACTTGAGGGCAAAAAGATCAGTGCTCCTGAAACGTCTTGACAGGTTTATCACCGTCCAGTCCACTGAAGAACTTAGGTCTTCCACTGAGAAGGAGAATGACTGGGCCACGGTTGAAAGTATCACAAAGATCTCCAACGCCTCATCAATGCTTAAGATCAAGTTTCACGACATCACTGTGGCAGCCAAAGCCTTGTCAAATGGCCTGGCTATCTCGTATTACTACATCAACCCGCGACAGATTCAGCCGGAATGCTTCAAACATATATCTCCTTGTTGGACCTGTTACACCTATAACCATTCCACCACTGAATGCCACGTTAAGGATAAGAAGATTCGTTCCATTTGTGGGAATGACGGGCATGATCATCGATCATGTACCTCATCACACACTTTCACCCAAATGTCCTGTCCGTAAAATCTTATCTAACAAGATAAAAGAAGACCTTAAGAAGACGACCGCTAATTCCCCAACTTATGCTGCTATAGCTAAGCTCCAGACTACCACTACCAAGATCCTGCAAGCCACTCGACACACGCCACCAACACCTGACGGCGTTTCCACACAAATTTACTTTTGCATGTTGTCTGCTCACACAGACCCTGGATCCTTCAACAAGACTATTAATAAACTCTTTTCAATGAACAACATCCCAGCCTTCAGATTCCCAGAATGTCCTCCTTCCGCCAATATTCTGAAGTTCACGCCAAAAATCATCAGCATCGCTGCACCTGACAACTTGCAGGACATGATTCTTGGCAATGACAACTGCTCGAATCCAGAACCAACCAATGATAGCATTAATTCTTCCTACCAATAAGGAGCCACCACCGACTTATACCACCACTTCTACTACTGACGAATCAGCTCCTTTACAACCACCATGCCGGCTCCTCTCACCAGATCAAAATTGTCCTATCAAAATCTGCAGACAAAAGACTTCAGAATGGCTCCACGACCTGAAAATGGGAATAATATGGACACAGAGATGAAGAAATATCACCCATCAATCACGACATAGCTGCCACCTCCCCAGCTTGAAACGACCAATCACCTCGAAGCCTGCCTCCCTCTTCATCCCTGCCTTCCTGCCGATCCCCAGCCACCAATCACCTTCAAATTTAAGACTTACACAACGCTCCTGCTTCAGTTTGCACAACTTATGTTCTTATGCCTTCTACATCGCTGTATACATCTGCTTCACATCGCCTTGCGGCTGGGTTTAGCCCCGGCTGTTTATCTAGAACTCAAGACATTCTTCTCGCCGGCTATTCTTCGTCTGTCCCCACTTCCCCGCTCACCCACTTGTGGGTCATACCTGCGAGTCTCTTCAGTTTAGTTCAACACACACTGTGTTGTCGCTGATGTAACCTCGATGTATAGACCGAACGGTAATAGCAGTAAAAAGATTCTGTAGCGAATTCATAGTTTAAATGTATATAAGACATGCCTTCATTATTAGATTTGTAGAAAATATAGGTAATAACCCTTCGTATAGTAAGTGATAATCATAGCACCTTCATAAGAGGCCATGTGCGGTCCGCCAGCCTCTCAGCCAACCACATACCTCGCTACCACCAAATAAAATGTCTTGGTCTTATTTCATGTAACTTGTCACGATTGTGACCAGATCTACCTGGAGTTCAATAACTCTGTAACTTGTTCAGTCCCTGGACCCATTATGTACCTCTGTAATCTTTTGACTACCGCCCACAGGATGGGTCTGGTGTGTATAATAAAGATGTTAAATTAGGTAACTCTTATTTCAGTTTGTTTTCAGCTTCAGCAAATATATTGCTATTTAGAATTATCAATGAATATATTACGTTTATTCTTAATTTATATAAATTACAACTAGGTAAAATCTTTGTAAGTGCTCCCTCATAATTTGCACAGTATTGTACGCATTATATGTTATTTTGAGTAAAGAAAGAAGATTTGTTAGGTGTTCCGTAGCTAAATCGCTAGAGCACTCACCTCACACATTGACACTGAGGTCCGGGGTTCGAATCCCCGGAAGGGCTGGAAAACAGGGCGTGTTTCCGTAAGACACCTGTTGTCCTTGTTCACCCATCAGTACTAAATGGGTACCTGGGTGTTAGTCGACTGGTGTGGGTCGCATCCTGGGACAAAACTGAAGTAATTTGTCCGAAATGCTCAGCATAACAAGCGGCTTTCTATATAATAATAATATTTTATTTTGACATGATACATGCTTGTACAAAGAAATATAACAGTTGGGTGTATATGCCAAAAGCCTCTTTATATGAAGAGCATTTCGGGCAAACTTAAAATTAACTTATGATTAATAAGGCAATAACAGTACAAATGGTCATTAGATGAGTTGCAATGAATACAAGAGAACTGAGTATTCTATTAGGTGATCCTATATGGCTTTAATAAGTCTTGTAGAGAAGGCGTACAATTTTGATTATTAACCTTAGGTGGCCACAATGGAGTGATTAACATCTGAGATGAATACAGATATCGAGAGTAAGTATATATTGATTTTATTGATGAGAAGGGTTTACCTATGTTAATGATATTGAGCAAATGTATGTATAGTTTTTACATATGTATGATGAGCTGGGATACGTTAAGGAGATAAGGTTTCTTTAACTGTAATTTTAAAAATGCTAGCTGAACCAGTGGTTCTGAAAATTTCTAACAGAGGGTTCCAGATTTTGGGCCCTTTTATGTACAATGAGTTTTTGAAAAGATTTAGCCTGACACGGGGAACATAAGAAAGAAGGAACACTGCAACAGACCTACTGACTCATGTGGAGCAGGTCCATGTCCCCTCCCCCGGGATTAGCCCAATGACACCCCCCCCCCCAGGATTAGCCCAATGACCCACCCAGTGTGGTCACCTCCACTCAACGATGGAGCACTGCACCAGACCCAGCAGCACAAGCTAGTCAGGTCCAACTCACACCCACCCACACCCACTCATGCATTTATCTAACCTATTTTTAAACCTACACAACTTTTTAGCCTCAATAACTGTACTCGGGAGTTTGTTCCACTCATCCACAACTCTATTACCAAACCAGTGCTTTCCTATATACTTCCTGAATCTGAATTTTTCCAGCTTGAAACCATTGTTGCGAGTCCTGTCTTGGCTGGAAATTTTCAGCACGCTATTTACATCCCCTTTATTTATTCCTGTTTTCCATTTATACACCTCGATCATGTCCTCCCTAATTTTACGCCTTTCGAGAGAGTGCAGATTCAGGGCCTTCAGTCTATCCTCATAGGGAAGATTTCTGATACATGGGATCATCTTTGTCATCCTCATCTGTACGTTTTCCAGAGCATTTATATCTATTCTGTAATACGGTGACCAGAAATGAGCAGCATAATCTAAATGAGGCCTAACCAAGGATATATAGAGTTGAAGAACAACCTGAGGACTTCTATTATTTATACTTCTAGATATGAAGCCAAGAGGTTTTTGTGCCTAGTGTTGTGTCTGAGTCCTATTGCAACTGTCAAGAAAGCGTTTCAGGTCGGGATTTATATTAGAAGTGACTGTTCTGTAAATGAAGGTTGTACAATAGTACGAGTGAATATTCTCTATACTGAGTAGGTTTAGGTCTTTGAAGAGTGGGGGGGGAGAGGGTTGTCTAGCAGTGAATTGTGTGATCATTCGCAATGCGGCTTTTTGTGTTATTATTGATTTTAGGTGGTTTTTCGTTGTGGAACCCCAGGCACAAATAGCATAGGTGAGGTAGGGGTAAATCAGTGAATAGTATAGTGTAAGTAGTGCTGTTTGTGGTACTTAGTAACGTATCTTTGAGAGGATGACAACTGTTTTAGAAACTTTTTTTTTGTTATGTGTTGGATATGGGAGTTATATGTCATGTTACTATCAAGGTGCAGACCCAGGAATTTTCCCTCATTATGTTTAGTAATAAGGGTATTGTTAAGTATAATGTTTAGTTGGACCTCACTTGTTCTACTCCCAAACATAATGTAAAAGCTTCTGTTTATATTAGGTGTAAGTTTATTGACGGTCAACCAGGTTGCTATTTTTGCGAATTCTACGTTAACAATAGTGTTGAGTGAGGTTAGATTTGGGTGGGAGATAACAAAAGTCGTGTCGTCGGCAAAGAGAATAGACGCAAGTTGTTGTGATACGCTTGGAAGATCCTTGATATATAAAAGGAAGAGGAGGGAGCCAAGAACGCTGCCTTGTGGTACACCAGTGTCCAGGGGTCTTGTTGAGGAGGTTGTGTCCTTGACAGAGATGTACTGTCATTGATGTCAGAGGCCTGTATACTTTGTACATGTACAAATAAAGACTATTATTGTTATTATTATTATTATAACAAGAGTAAAGTATACAGATGAGAATGATTGTGATTGTCCCATCATACTGACATGAGTTTAACTGAGTTTTTGTTTTAGTTTTTCGTATTTTGTGTAGTAAAATATTTTTAATATGTTATCTAAATGCACTGCTGAATGTATTACCATTTGAATTAGTGTTTGAATTAGAATTTTGAAGAAATGTGGTTACTTAAATATAATTAATTCCTAATGTGTGTTAGTTATAGGCTTTTTAATTGAACATTATTAATGAATTCGGAAGTTATTTAATTTGAGGATTTTTATCAGAATTTCAAGTAAAGTTTGTTTCTTCTGGCTCGGCCT